TGTAATGACATTGAAGTTTTTACCATCCAATCAACTAGTAGGAAAGCCAGTAATAACTTATGCAACACAAAAATGCCATGTGAGAAAATTATTTTCTAGTGAAATAAATGTTGATGTGAAGAAGTATAACTTTTATTTAATCTCCATAGAACCATATAGCCAGTCACAAATCCTATGAAAAGAGGGAAAGAACCATTTGAACTTTATTTTTACCTTTAGGTGTGTGAGCATACTAGTAGGTGTGGACATGACAAGCAATCCATGCCAACCATGCCTCGGGAATCTCGAAATGTTGATCTTGCTTCACAGGTTCGACTGCAGAGCGTGTTGGTTTGGTAGGAGACAGTGCAGGCGGTAACTTGTGCATAACCGTCTCTATGAGGGCAATGTCTCTCGGTGTACGTGTTCCTGATGGGATTGTGGCAGCCTACCCAGCAACTCTGCTAACAACAGACGCCTCACCATCCAGACTGCTCACTTTAATCGACCCTCTGCTGCCTTTGAGCGTGCTCTACAAGTGTATCGATGCCTATGCTGGTGAGCTTTTGAGTCAAGTCTTGTTACTTACAGCGCTTATACGGTACAGATTGTTTCAAAACAGCTTTATCTACCGCACCTTCATGATTGTACTGTTTCTTGGTCACTCTCTCTATCTCAGGTTCGAGTTGTCAGTCAGTGCAGCCAGCTCAGCAGATAGACACCTTGGCCGCTTTGGGACAGGACACAGTAAAGTTGTTGACTAACTTCACCCAAGGAGCGACAAATTGGTTTCAGAATTTATTAGAACCAAAAGCAGCAGCAGCATCATCCTCTTCAACCATACCATCAAACGGTCCTTCACCTTCCAAGTCACATTCTGTAGAGAAACCACAGGAAGTCCAAGAATACCCAGAAAACTTTGAGCCACTCCGGTCTAGGTGTCTGGTGGATATACACACACCTTGCACACCAATAATGAAGAACCCATTTGTTTCTCCTCTACTTGCTCCGGACAGTCTTCTCAAGGGGCTTCCACCAGTACATATAGTGGTAAGACCTAATGAAAATGCATTTCCAGGAACAATGTTGAAACTATTATTTTAATGCTTTGATTGTTCTTCTCAGGCTTCTGCTTTGGATGCCCTGTTAGATGATTCAGTGATGTTTGCCAAAAAGCTTAGGAATATAAACCAGCCTGTGACGCTCACTGTGGTTGAAGACCTTCCTCATGGCTTCCTGAGCCTATTTCAGCTCTCCAAAGAAACCCAGGAAGCATCTGATATATGTGTGAAACGAATCAGGGAAGTCTTCCAGCTAGAGGAACAACCTGCTGATCAGAGGCAGCCGGGGCTTAGTTAGACAGTTTAGGCTTGGGAAAGTCCTGATGGACCACCAAGGTCCAAGAAGTTCCAGGGATCTAAATAACAATAAAGTGAAACTAGTTTTGACAAGAAATGTATTTAAAAAAAGAGGAGTCAATCCACCAGCTTAACAATCAATTGTATATCCATCTTACAATACCAAAGTTTCTGCACCAAAGTGCAGTTTTTTCATCAGAGTGACTCATTTTTAGGTATTCACAATTACTATTCACTGTTGTGTTCTGACCAAACTGAATGTCTCAGCATCCACCAAAATTTCACCATTGTGCCTGTAGTGATGCAATAAGATCAATCCTAGCTGCTTTTGCACTGCAAACTAAAATTTTTTTAAGTAACTGCACTGTTGATTTTAAGTCACCATTTCTGACTTCTTATTTTTATCTGAAATGAAAATGGATTGAATGTTTAAAGAGAAGGGTGTTAAACACACAGCTTTAGTTTTTCTCTCGTTTAAATTTAGTAAATCTTTCTTTGTACCTCATTATTGGTTATTAAAGCAGTATAAAGTTTATTCTACAGTTGTGGGCATGTTTTGTGCATGCACTCTGTATGGTGTTTTTAAAAAAAACTTAAATTGTCCCACATAAGGTGGCATTTAGTCCAGTTTGGCTCATGAACTGAAATTACTTTGACACCCCTGCTTGTATCATAATGTCAGCTATAGCATTATTTGAAAATTAATTTGACAAGGATATTTGCGTTATACACCAGACAAAACTTTGAGGCCTTTGAGGATGCGGTTATAAGCTTTTACAGCATTGTGTCTGTTCATAGAGTACTGTTGTCTACACGTGAACCTTTATATTAATTATATTAAGGTTACCTCATCATTTCTTGAAGAAGAACTGGCCAGATGCACCAGAAACTTTCGCTGTGACTTGTTACCAGTTCACGTTTTTATGCAGTAAACTAAACAGCTGAAGGGTGCTCATAACCATAACCAAATTAGATTCAGACCTGTACTTTTTTCTTATAACACCAAAGATGTTTGTTCTATACTGTACATTTCTGAGAGGATTTTGATGAACTGAATGTCAAATGCAATAAATAAATAATCCACTATTTTGAAAGCAACTTTGTTTCCGGTGATGTTTTACATTTTGGCCTATATTTTACAAAATGCAGTTAGCCTATTGTTACTACAAGAAAAATATGGTAACTTGATAATAAGTACTAATCACTTATTTATAAGAATTTCAAGTAACAGAAAGAGTGAGTCTGAAATCATTAACTGTTAATTTATTAATATTATTCTTGTATTATTTCAATATAATTCATATTAGTTTTATGTTTTGTCTTGTACTATTAATATTTATTATGACTAAGACTGCCTAAAATACACAATGGATACCACAGTAATTAAGGGAATAAAGGCATACATTCAAAGAAAGAAATGCAGTAAATAAACGCATGTTTGATAGTCCTGTGGTCATAAGAGCCTCCGTACCGTTGATGGCAGCACCTCATATGAAGCCCACTGACGTTCAATACATGTCGACCGTGTTGACAGAAATACAACAAAGAGACGAGCTGCTTGTAGCGACATGATATATACAACGTTGATTACCAATTAATTTACCTCACATATATGGCAACATAGGATACTGACATTGGTAAAGGTAAATGTTTGGTTTTAACTATCGGATATTACGCAGTAATGTTATACGTTTAGCCTAGCTTAGCACAATTCACGTGCCAACTAAACTATTTGATGTCGGTCTGTTTGGGATTATGTTTTGCCTGCCTGAAGTAACTAGCAAGTGAAGCAATATTTATATTATTTATGTACTGGAAACGATTATCAGTCTCAATCTTTGTAAGTCTGAAATGCTTGTGTTTAAAAAGTTCAAGCCAGACTTTTATTTCATATTGTAGAGTTGTGAAGGGACTGACTAGCGTCATTATATTAGCTCGTTTACAGGTTAATATAAAACATTTGGTTTGAACTGAATAGTGATTTGTAAACAAGCGAAAGTAAATATGAATGTAGTTAACTCTATTTACCACCTGTCAGAAAGTAAGGCTGTATTGATTTATTTATATGTTTATTATACAGAGATAAAGTTGTACTGTCAATGACACTCACAGTAAAAGTGCCATGGTAATTCAATGTTATTACTGTAACTATAAGTACCTTAAAGTACAACGTAAATACAATCGATTTTCAAAATGGGAAACATTCAGTATCGTGACAACAAGGTACCTTTTTAGTATTTCCATTTTATACTATGAGACCAATACAGTGCTTTTTCTGACAGGGGAATATTTAAATAAGCAATGACCTATTATCACATCCGCATTAGACAGTTTTATAAAAAATTTAAAAAAAACTTTCTGTTTTCAATAAATTATGATGAAAACCAAAGGCTTACCAGTATAACATAGATGATATAGTTACTACTGTAAAATGGTAATAAATTAATACTGGATTTTTTTAGAATATTACATGTCATTTTCAGTTTGTATAGTGAATTGTCTTTGATTTTCACATTGTTCCTCTGCAGGTGGCACAGCTGTGGGCACAACTGGATGTCAGCACAGAGGAAAGGACAAACACAAGATCTCCACCTAATTTATTATTTAAAGAACTGACTTGTATTCAGCCCTGTTGGACATTTAAACTGCAGTCACCCTGAAGTGTTCTTTTGTCTATTAATGTGCTGGAGTGAATCCTACCTACCAGACAAATGTATAATTTAAACGAATGATCTCTGTGATCAGGACATTTGAGAGTTAAACTGCATTTGAAGAAGAAAAGGTGAGAACTGGCATCCAGAAGACCACAAAGCTCCGTTTGCATACTGTAAATGTTGCAGAAGTGTAGACGAAAAGAAAGTTCTGGTCTAGGTCTTTCTGTAGTTCACATTGCCTTAGCAGACTAGTTCTTTATTACACCCGTCCAGGTATAATTTTCTATACTTTGTGCAGGTTTGCAATATTTTTACACTTAAATATTTATTTCTCTTCTTTTAGAAGAGACCTTGTAATATATATTGTGTGGCAGCATTGCTCTTAGTTATAGAGCCTAAGCTGTATGCAGAATTTGTAAATATCTCATAAGATTCATTAGTGACACTTTTTATTGAGACCTTGTGGACACTGTGAATGGTTTACTAGATCTTATTAGACCATAGGCAGGCGTTAAAAAAGTGAAAAAGAAGTGGCAAAACTTTAGAAACTTAAAAAATGGCAACAAAGATGGAGAACACTGGCCCGGCTGTCATGGGATTGAATACACATAACAGGCAGCTTTTAGGACAGCCTAAAGCCCCCTCTCAATTAGGACCCCAAACTGTGAGTGCTCAGCCTGGAAAGGAGCCCATGGTGACCCAGAAACCAGCCAATGCATCTCAGGAAAGACCTGGTATCAGGTAAGCTTGCTATAGCGTCATATTTAACACTTGTTTGCTTAATTGGAATGTATGTGTGGTATATTTGACATGTATGACGTGTACACTTCTGTTTAAAAGTTTGGGGTTTGTTAAAAAAAAAAAATTCTTTTATGTTTTTGAATGAAGTCTCTTATGTTCACTGAGGCTGCATTTATTTGATCAAATATACAGTAAAATTGTGAAATATTATTATAATTTCAATTTAAAATAACTGTCTTTATTTTAAAATAAACAGCATTGCTCTTAGTTATAGAGCCTAAGCTGTATGCAGAATTTGTAAATATCTCATAAGATTCATTAGTGACACTTTTTATTGAGACCTTGTGGACACTGTGAATGGTTTACTAGATCTTATTAGACCATAGGCAGGCGTTAAAAAAGTGAAAAAGAAGTGGCAAAACTTTAGAAACTTAAAAAATGGCAACAAAGATGGAGAACACTGGCCCGGCTGTCATGGGATTGAATACACATAACAGGCAGCTTTTAGGACAGCCTAAAGCCCCCTCTCAATTAGGACCCCAAACTGTGAGTGCTCAGCCTGGAAAGGAGCCCATGGTGACCCAGAAACCAGCCAATGCATCTCAGGAAAGACCTGGTATCAGGTAAGCTTGCTATAGCGTCATATTTAACACTTGTTTGCTTAATTGGAATGTATGTGTGGTATATTTGACATGTATGACGTGTACACTTCTGTTTAAAAGTTTGGGGTTTGTTAAAAAAAAAAAATTCTTTTATGTTTTTGAATGAAGTCTCTTATGTTCACTGAGGCTGCATTTATTTGATCAAAAATACAGTAAAATTGTGAAATATTATTATAATTTCAATTTCAAATAACTGTCTTTATTTTAAAATAAAACATTCTGTGATGGCAAAGCTGAATTTTCAGCACTCCAGTCTTAAGTGTCACATGATCCTACAGAAATCATTCTAATGTATGGATTTGTTGCTCAAGAAACATTTCTTATTATCGGTGTAATAGAAATATAAATCTTTGTCTTTACTGTCACTTTTGGTCAATTTAATAAGTTAATTTATAAAAAATATAAATTTCTTTCTTAAAAATATTACTGACCCCAAACAATTGAACAGTAGTATATATATTAATATATTGACACACAGGTTTGGTGATGACTGGAAGAAAAGCCTACAGCTCCCCGCTAAGGACAGTAGAGTCAAAACTTCTGTAAGTCTTTTAGTGAAATGTTTTAAACTTTCACTTTTTAAAAATAGTGCAAACAGAATCCCCAACTAATGTAATGTCATTATAAGGATGGCTTGTTTTTTCACCATAACACACGATGAAGAATTCATGTATATATAACATGCGACATGCATTTGATGAATAGTTATTGTTTTTCATTTTGTAAAGTAGAAGTACAGATCTCCTTGTGATCCATCAGTTTCATACTCTTTTCTTTCTCACAAGGATGTGACTGCAACCAAAGGGAATGAGTTTGAGGACTACTGTCTAAAAAGAGAGCTGCTGATGGGCATTTTTGAGATGGGCTGGGAAAAGCCCTCCCCCATTCAGGTAATAGATGCAAGAACTTCAAAACATAGACAAGTTACCAGTCTTTCTGGACAACATGGGTATCCTCAGTGTTTATGCTTAAAGGAATAGTTCACCTAAAAATGAAAATTTGAAGAAAATTTACTCACCCTCGGGCCATCCAAGATGTAAATGAGTTTATTTCTTCATCAGAACAGATTTGGAGAAATGTAACATTACATCGCCTGCTCAACAATGGATCCTCTGCAGTGAATGGGTGCCGTCAGAATAAGAGTTCAAACAGCTGATTAAAAACATAACAATAATCCACATATAATCCACATGACTCTAGTCAATAAATTAATGTCTTGTGAAGTGAAAAGCAGAATGTTTGTAACGAACCGTCCCTTCAAGACGTTTTTAACTTCAAATTGTTGCTTCCTATATTGGCATAAAAGCCACATAATAGTAATAGAGCCATACTATTGCTTTCTACAGTGGTGGAAAAGTCATCTTGTCTGAATCAGGAGAGAAATATGCACAAATCAAGCACCTGATACAAGCGCAAACAGTTCTAAACAAATATGTTGGTGGAGTTTGATGTGAGAGGACAACAGGGAATGAATATTTTTTTGTGTTATGGACTCGTGTTTTGGCCAGAAGTGACCATTTAAAGTTAAAATGCCTTAATGAAATTTGTTACTTGAAAACATGCAGCTTTTCTCCTCACAAGATGTTAATTGATGAACTTGTTTACCTGCAGCCATTGTGATAGTTCCCACACGTGAACTGGCTCTGCAGGTCAGTCAGATCAGTATTCAGATCAGCAAGCACCTGGGTGGTGTCAAGGTCATGGCAACCACAGGTGGGACCAACCTACGAGATGATATCATGCGGCTGGATGAGGAGGGTAATGTTCAGTGATCACCTAATCATAAAGAGATTACAACGTGAACATCTTCTGCAGTAAAAGCATGTTGTTCAAAACGTTTTTTTTTTTTTTTTGCAGTTCATGTTGTTATAGCAACACCTGGCAGAATTTTGGACTTGATAAAAAAGGGCATAGCCAAAGTGGATAAAGTGCAGATGATGGTTATGGATGAAGTGAGTATTGCACATGCTAACTGTACATACCTGTCAGAATATTAATACAATTATAATTAATAAAATGATTATATCCTGTTGCACCCTGTCCCAACTGCACATCTTGACAGAGTTATTTAGGTGTTTATATGTTATCAATACCACTAAGTTTAAACTTCATTGCTTGTTTTATTATAGGCTGATAAGCTGCTCTCTCAGGACTTTGTGGTTATTATTGAGGACATCATTGGTTTCCTTTCAAAGAACAGACAGATTCTGCTCTATTCAGCCACATTCCCCATCAGCGTACAGAAGTTTATGGTTAGAGAAATCTGTGGATCGTTTTGAACACATTTATGCTTTCATTGTGCTCATCTGTCTCTTTCTACATCTGCAGATTTTACATTTATACACTTTGTATCTCTTCAGGCAAAGCACCTGCAGAAGCCCTATGAGATTAATCTGATGGAGGAACTGACCCTGAAAGGCATTACTCAGTACTATGCTTATGTCACAGAAAGACAGAAAGTCCACTGCCTTAACACACTGTTCTCCAGGGTAAAGAGTCCATTTCCTTTAGGACATTTAAAAAAAATTATATTTAGGGCGAGTAAAAATTCATGTCACAACAATGATGAATTCCTCAGGCTAGCCAAGATCTAGATGAGTTTGTTTCTTCATCAGAAAAGATTTGTAGAAATTTAGCATTACATCACTTGCTCACCAAATGGATCGTCTGCAGTGAACGAGTTTAAACATCTGATAAACACGGCATAATAATCCACAAGTAAGCGACATGACTCCAGTCCATTAATTAATGTCTTGTGAAGTGAAAAGCTGCATGTTTCAGCTGTTTTCAGTCTTGTAAACAAAGTTATATACAACATATCTCATATCTTTCCTAAGTTTGTATTTTTTCACTGGAGGATGCAAAGTTATAGATAGAGGACTTTAGCCAAAATCTTTTCACTTCACAAGACGTTAATTGATGGACTGGAGTCGCGTGCATTATTGTGATGTTTTTATCAGCTGTTTGGACTCTCATTCTGAAGGCAACCATTCACTGCAGAGGATCCATTGGTAAATAAGTGATGTATTAAAGTGATGTAATACTAAATTTCTCCAAATCTGTTCAAGTGAAAGAAATCATTTACATCTTGGTTGGACTGAGGGAGAGTCCATTTTCAGCAAATTTTCATTTTTTTGGTGAACTAGTCCTTTTATGCTGTTCTTTTGTGAATTCTAAAAAAAATGGCATTGTTACTACAATTGACATGACCCAAGCACTTGTTCTCTCCACAGTTGCAGATAAATCAGTCCATTATCTTTTGTAACTCTACTCAGCGAGTGGAGCTTTTGGCCAAGAAGATCACGCAGCTGGGCTACTCCTGCTTCTACATTCATGCGAAGATGATGCAGGTACTGTATGTATTTTGCTGTTGTCAGTTCCAGTGTAATTCAGATCTGTTCAGTATGATTTACTAATTTCCGTCAAATACTTGAAACTTGTGACTGCAAACATATTGTGCGTCATTTCATTCATATGGCAGGAATACAGAAACCGTGTTTTCCACGACTTCAGAAACGGGCTCTGCAGGAACCTTGTTTGCACAGGTGAGTGTAGTGCATTATATAGCATCTTACCTCTTTTTTGTGTAATTGCATAATAATAACCTCAACTGTAAAAATGGAATGTATGTTTTGTCAAGGTGTTTCTAACTCAGTGAATTTATGCTCTTGAAACAGATTTATTCACTAGAGGCATTGATATCCAGGCAGTAAATGTGGTCATCAACTTTGACTTTCCCAGGAATGCAGAAACATACCTGCATCGCATCGGACGCTCAGGTGAAGTTAACAAACAACAAAGATGTGGTGGATTAAATTTGGATTACATTATCTAGACTTGACACTTTTATATTAAATAGTTTACACTTTTATAATATGTATAATGTATCATTATATGGTCCCTGTGTTGAATTTGCAGGCAGGTTTGGACATCTGGGTTTGGCAATCAATCTCATTTCCGCTGAGGATCGCTTTAACCTGAAGACCACTGAGGACCAGCTGATGACGGACATAAAGCCCATTCCTGGCAGCATTGATAAGAGCCTGTATGTGGCAGAGTTTCACTCTGTGAACCCTGACTGTGAGGCAGAGGCACCTCAGCCCGGCGAAGGGTCTGAAGCTCAGTAGGAAGCACCATTAGAGAGCAGGTAAAGGCATACAGTTGGGAGACTTTATGTACTTATGTCATGTAATGGGGAAAATAATCTAACATTTGTTTCTTGATCTGAGAATACCTAGTATTGCAATGTCTGTTAATATTTCCATGTTGAATCCGTGATAATTGGACTGACTTTACCATTTGCTTTTTCTAGGGCAGTTGGAGAAACTGAACCAGACTTTTGCATCTGCTTTTGCACAAACCAGTAACTTTTCTGCTCATAACTTTCCTCATCTTTTCCACCTCCACAGTATTTTTCATTTTTTGTTGCTGTCAGTGTTTTGCTCTTTTTTTTTTTTTTTTGCGTTCATTGTACATTTTTGGGGTGGTTATACCCTCTTCATAAATGGCCATACACATTCCAGTTGAGACATGCAAGAATAAAAACAAAACATTCAGAGAAAAGTTCTGTTTGATAGAAAACAATAAACAAAGGTAATGGTGAAAATAGAGCGTAGCGTACTTGCATCATTAGTTGAGAATTTACACACAAACCCTTGAACAAAACCTGTTGAACACAAGTGCCTTAATATATATCGTCTCTGTCTTAGATTAATATGTTATTGCTGTGTTAAAGTATGCCCAAAGACTAAACAGGATTTTGCAGCATATTGGTGCTACTGGATACTGTGAAAGAATTATTGGTATTGATTTATTGATGAGAAGCATTTTCAAATTCTCTTCATATTCAGTCTTCGGCAGCTAGAGAAACCAGCATCCATGGAAATATTGCAGAGCTCAGGATTCAGGTGTCAACATGAACCATTGCACTAAACTGCCTGAGAAAAAAAACTTTCGTAGTGCTTTTTGTAGTTTCATTAGTAGTCACAGACAAATGTACATTTGGAATTCATAAAGAAATATAGATGTAAATTATGGTTTCAAACAGAGACTAAATTTGTGCAATTTGTTTGTATCTTGTGATGTTTTTTATATATATATATATATAATTCTTAAAACATTATATTAGACATTACTAACTTAAACAGGCATGGCGAAACTGGCATAATGTGAAAGATGTCAGACTACTACATGAAAGCTGATTTAAAAATTCACCACAATGCAGTCATTATACATTAGCAGATCCTCACATATGTATGTATAACTATGTTAAATGGTTTGTCAAAAGAGTCTGTTTGGTTTCTTTTTTTTTTCTTCATTTAAAGGTGTAAGTAAAGGTGAGAAGGTGTTTTTTTTCTCTCAAAAATAGCATATTTTACAGTTTACATTTCTTTTGAAATTAATGAATGTATAAAGTTGGTAATGAACGGACTTTACTACATTATTTCCAGCTGTATGTATATACAGTGTATATAATATATATATATATATATATATATATATATAATGTCTGTGTGTGTGTGTGTGTATAACTTTGACAGAAAGGAGGAAAAATATATATATTTTTTATTATTTCCTTTTGGATGTTTGCAAGAGGCTTTTCATAACCTCATGTTGCATTTATGAGATATTTTGATTAAGAGAGTATTTTCATACAGCAGAATTGTAGCATCTTCTCAGTGGCAGCTGTGATTTTTATTTATTTATTTTTTTCTCCAAAAGATGTTCTATTGTGGGACTTTTTTTTTTTGCGCTATGCAGGGATATGTGGCATGTAGCTCAAAGCTTTAGTGTAGAAAGCTCCGTTTGCATGTTTCTTTAGCTGTTAAAACAGCACAGTTCAGGCTAATATGCATTGTGCCGTTAAATTAGGAAACCTTGAGCCAGATTTCAAATTTCTGCTGATGATGCTGTGCTACTCAAAAGATTTGTGTTTGTGTAAGACTATTAGCATATTTCAAAAATCATATTTTAGTGGACAAACTTTAATTCTTTGTTCATTCTGTCATGCAGTGATGAGCTGTGAATTTTTCCTTATGTTTTATATGGTTTATTACAGTTAATGGACATGAGGAGCAGATGTTATGGGGACAGTTGTTTAATGTAAATTTTGTATAGGATTCCTGGAGAGAAAAAAAATTGATGTGTGATACCCTGTTTGTAATTGATGCAAGAATGGTTTAATGCTCATGACTGTGTGTGACTTTGTGAGTGATTTATGTTTTGTTTCAGGTTGGTTTATTTCATTTGAATATAGCTCGAGGTTATAGTATGTATTACAGTATAACTTGAAATAGAATAAATGTGCCATCTGTCCCAAACTTCAATACATTCATATGAGAGATAACAGTAGGGTTTTTCTTTGTGAATGTGGAAAAGTATCTATATCGGGGGATTTTTTTTTTTTTAAATTTTCCAGAGGAAACACTTTAACATTTAAATTGGTAAACTGTTTCTTATTGAATTGACTGTAGTAAATAATTTTTGTGAATCTACAAAAATTGTAGATTTTCTGATTTGAACATAAATTTGTCACTCGAATGTGTTCATAAATCTTATTAAATTGTGTCCTATATTGTTATTATTATTTATTATTATATGCCTATTTCCTATTTATTATTATTAGTAGTAGTAGTATTTACTAATTGGAAACATTGCTGTTTATTAGATGAGAGTTTTAAAATGACTAGTTATTACAGTAGCCTAGCCTACCTAGTCTGGGGTTTTCAATATTTCATTTAGACACTAAGGATCCATTGCATAAATCGAATGACTAAACTCTAGTTCTGTTTGGTTGTTTTTATAATTCTATGTATATCTTACAGTTCAGTTTATGGTAGCCCAAGCGACTTCCAAAGCCCATTCAATGACCTTCACGCAAATGCCCTTTTGTGTTCGCTCTCTCAAACCCGCTTCATTTTTACGTAGTGATTGGCAGGTAAACCGACCAATAGCCATTTAGCTTTGGTTTTGTCGAGCTGAAAGTAGGAGGGCTACAGGGCGGAGGTTTAAGGGGAGTCTGACTCGTTTCCATGAATCGGTTCTTTTGAACAGTTCATCTGAATGAACTCACTGAGGAATTCTTTTACGTCTTGACGTAATTGCGTCATCGCTGCGCAGAAACTTTTTTCTATCACATTTTATAATGAGGGTGTTTTAGTTTTAAGTTTGTTGAAGACATAATGCAACTTAACGTCAAAATATATGCATATTGACACGAGAACTGCTCGGACTGATTCTTACATGAACCATTCTGTCCGACTCGTAAACGAGTAGATGAGACTGGTGGTTTTGTGAAGCGATTCAACCGACTCATTGAGAAGATCCGACTCTGACAGAATGAATCATTCACAAAACGGACATCGTTAGAACACGTGGTTTTGTAATCTGGACTAAACCGTCCTCTGTGAAGCTCAACGTGAGTTGTCATTAATTCATTGTTACGGAGTTTATTTTCTAAAAAATCTACAGCACCCCTTAGGGGTTCTTAGCTAGAAATATTTCTAACTTTACTTGTTAAATCTAAACAGCATTTATATTTCCAGTGTCTGTAGTGTCTCACGAATAACAAAAATCATGTGGCTTTTAGCTTTCAAGCTAATTTGTCAATGGATTTTGCGTTGAATTTTAACCTGGATGCTTGACGAAACAGCAGCAGCTTCTAATCGTACATATCCAATTTCTAACTTTACTTGTTAAATCTAAACAGCATTTATATTTCCAGTGTCTGTAGTGTCTCACGAATAACAAAAATCATGTGGCTTTTAGCTTTCAAGCTAATTTGTCAATGGATTATGCGTTGAATTTTAACCTGGATGCTTGACGAAACAGCAGCAGCTTCTAATCGTACATATCCAGTTGTTTAGTAATTTTCTTTATGCAAAAGACCTTCAGGGACTTGCTGCCTAAACATGACATGCGTGTTTATCGTTCACAAATGAAAACTACTGATTTTAGACCCAACCTACTGATTACATTATATTATTTCAGCTAATAATCTGCTCTCCATCTGTGTTAACGTGCTGTCTTCCTCTGTCCTGTTTAAGAATGGGCAGTGTGTTGGCTGCCAGTGCCCCCAGCCCTCCTGCAGCAGGGCCAGGTGGACCCGGTTTGGTGTCAGTACCTCCAGGATTCACGATGCCCTCCGTCTCTCCCGTCTCTGTGCCTGGCAGCTCTTCATCTGGGCACCAGGAGACTGAGCCTCCCCTTTCAAACCCCGGTGGCTTTGAAGAGTGCCACCGCAAATGCAAAGGTAAGAAAAGAATTACTTTTTAAGTGATTAGGAATCAAAATTATTAACAAAGTAGTTTATATAGAAATTACATATGAATTTTATCAAAAGTGACAGCAAAGACATAATGTTACAAAAAATATCTATTTCAAATAATTGCTGTTTGAACTCCCTTTGAACTTTTGAAAATCCTGAAAAAATGTATCAGGGTTTCCACACTGATCAAAAGAAATTTTCCTTGAGTGCCAAATCATCATTATTAGAATTAGAAGATATTGAAGACTGGAGGAATGGCAGCTGAAAATTCAGCTTTGCCATCACAGAAGTAAATCACATTTTAAAATATATATTTAAAAAGAAAACAGTTCTTTTAAATAGTAATATTATTAGTCTTTAATGTATTTTTGGCCATATAAATGCAGCCCTGCAAAACACAAGAGATTAAAAAATTGAAAAATTTTCATTAAAAAAAATTTCATCTTTTTTTAAACATTCAACGTATGTCTACGATAACATTTACATTAATGGCTGATTTATACTGAAAAATGTATTACAAAAAATCAGCAAATTAATAAAAAAATTTGTTATTTCATTCAATTTTAATCTTTCTTTAAATTGAAATGACATAAAAATGAATTTTATATCCTGCTTCCATTGGAATTGAAATGCCATTCTCAATTCAGCTGTATCTTGTATGACTTTGGATTTACATGATTACAAATTCTAATATTCTTACACTAATATCTGTTTGTCCCTCAGAGGTGTTTCCTGTGCAGATGGAGGGTGTTAGACTAACCGTGAACAAGGCCTTGAGCAACCACTTCCAGGTCAGTCCAGTGTGTCCACTGGTGGATTTTCTTGAGCCATGTTGTTGAAGGAAGTATTCTTGATCATAAACAAGATCATCTCTTGTTTTATTTCATAGGTCAACCACACAGTGTTGTTAAGCACTCTAGGAGATTCCAGTTACAGGTTTGGAGCTACTTATGTGGGGACCAAACAAACAGGACCAGAGGTACACAAATTTAGCTTGCGGTATAAATTAATACAAATATATTTTCCCAGAACAAAGGCTGTTGAAAAGTCAGTTTAATTTGAAAAAGGCATTTATCCAAATATGTATAGTTTACCTTAATATTTTGTATCAGGCCTTCCCCGTCATGGTTGGTGACATGGACAACACGGGGAGCCTAAATGCACAGATTATTCATCAGATCACAGACCGAGTGCGCTCGAAATTTGCATTCCAGGTGTGTATTTGTGAAAAGAGCCTATATGTGGTGCTTTTATGATTAGTTCTAATGTAATATTAATGCATTACTGGACGTATTTGTCTAAATCAGACTCAGCAGCAGAAGTTTGTGAACTGGCAAGGAGATGCTGAATTCAAAGGAGAAGATTTCACTGCTGCTGTGACCTTTGGCAACCCAGACGTCTTGGTTGAGTCAGGTAATTGTCTTCTGTTTCATCCATGTTTATTTGTGCCTCAATTTGAGCTTTATTTCAGTAGCTTTATTTGTTTTTAGTCTTGTTAACTCAAACAACGTATTTCCTCTCGGTTTCTCTCTCCTCCTGTCCCTCCATCTCTCTCAGGAATCGTTGTAGCTCATTATCTCCAGTCTGTCACTCCGTCGCTGGCATTAGGGGGAGAGCTGGTGTACCACCGACGGCCCGGAGAGGAGGGAACAGTCATGTCTCTGGCAGGCCGATATACAGGTAAGCACAGAAAGAAAGAATATTAGGTAGGTATGTGACGTATCAGATTGTCATGCCATGATAATTGAATCTTTATATCATAGTGATGAATTACATTACAAAGTAAGTTGAAAAGATACACAAGTGTTGTCCTCCTAGGCTACATCCACATTAATCTGGATAAACGCATCTTCTTCTTTTTTCCTATGCTTTGGCCTTTTGTCCAGTGAAAACAGCTTTTTGAAGACACTCTCCAAAGTGGATACATTTGAAAACACAGCATAGAAATGCATATTGTACCCATATATATCTATGTATTTATCCACATACTGTTTTTGAAAATATGGAGATTAATACAGATGTTGCCTTAATAAAATGTATTAACTTTTTTCAAATAACAATAGAGACTTTTAAATATAATATGCAATAAAAATGTGCAAAGTAAATAGATATTATAAACGGATTATTAAAGTCCAATATTTATTTGAAAACAAATATTCAGTCTGTAAGTTTTATTTCCGAATTTTAAACATCTGAATGGGCATTTGCAAACAGGCAGCAACTTTATCGCCACACTGACACTAGGAGGTGCTGGAGTTCATGGGTCGTATTACCACAAAGCCAATGATCAGGTAAACGTTCATTAGCAGAGTGAGTCATGTCTGTATTTGTTCGTTTATGTTGTTTTATTGCTTTATAATGACATTTGTTTTGTTTGGTATTAGTTGCAGCTTGGCGTGGAGTTTGAAGCAAGCACCCGTACGCAGGACACTAGTGTATCATTTGGATACCAACTGGACGTCCCCAAAGCTGATCTGGTCTTTAAAGGTTGGTAAATATGCATGCATTTGTACATACAGACAGCAGTCATCAACATCTCATCATTTTGTAGGGTTATGATGAATTCAGCAATTGCACATGTGCTCCTAAGTTAAAACAAAATGCAAGAGTGCATAAAGAACTTAATAAAAATGGCTCAATATAAATGTATTAAGTAATTTCTTTTACCTTAAACAAAGGGATATTAGGAGGCATTTACAAGCAAATTGATTTAATTTATTTGAATACTAAGAGTACACTAGGTTTTTAAATATTCCTGCTTCAAACTGTATTTAATAATTATGGAATAATGTGTTTTTTAAACATTGAATTAAATGCCAGATACAGTTTATGTAACCAAACAAAAAAACAAAAACAAAGGAAAAGAATAATAACCAGGGAAAAAAAATGTTCTGCATAATGCAGGACTTTTAATTATAAACATGCCCGAAATATGCCAGGCGTCTTATTTTTATATTCTTTACTTTTTGCTTTGAAACCTGCAGTGCTCAAATAGTGATTTAATTAATTATATCAAAGCCTTTTTGAAGTTTAATAATCGCATTAATCCTTATCACATTTCCTGTTTTCCTGTTAAACTCTTTAAATTATAATTACAACTTTTGTTATATCATCTAAAATATTTAAGACGTTTCATGACGTTAAATTAAAAAAATGAATTCAACACACATACTCTTAAATACGTTTTTTAAAATCTATTTTTAGTCACAAATATGTAATTGTGTCATCATTCATTGAGCAGCATTCCAGTTCAATCTTATTTAAAACATTTGTGTCGTTCCAAAGAGTGTTGCCTGATATTCCAATGAAAATCCACCCCAGATACCTTACTTTTTACAAAACCTTTATCCTGTCTTTGCAATCTGCATGAGATTTCTTTGGTTAAAATGTATGGGATATGAATTTTTCACTCTCTCTGTAGGTTCTTTAGACAGTAACTGGGTGGTTGGAGCCACGCTTGAAAAAAAGCTGCAGCCTCTGCCTCTGTCACTGGCCCTCAGTGCTTTCCTTAACCACAGAAAAAGCAAGTTCCAGTGTGGGTTTGGCATCACCATTGGTTAATCCTACCTTCTTTCTTGGTTAATGCTGCAGTTTGGACACACTTTGCATATTTATCCACATCTGTACAAAATCAGTCAGTAAACATGAAGCAAAATAAAGTAATATTTGTTGTTAGTTCCATGTATCAAACCAACCTTTGCAGTGAAAATTTCAATATCCAAAAAAGTACATTTAAAAACATCACTACTGCTTGATGCATTATTAGAGAAACCAAGAACAAATACACACATACAATTTGCCTTTCATTTTGTTGTTTACGTTCATTTAAAAAAAAAAAAAAAGTAAATTATTTTCTTGTTTATTTTTTGTTTTGTGTTTAATGAAGAAGTTCTGGATTCGTTTATTTTTCCTACACAATGAGCAGGGATTTTTTTCACAATGATTTTAATCAAGTTGCTGGATCTCTGTATTCATAGGTACCTATATAAATAAAATATATGCATTGCAACTAAGTTTTGTGAAACATGCATAAATTCTTAAAACAAAACACATATCTGTCCATCAAACAGATGCATGTTTATGAATGTATTTTTGTTGGTGTAACATTTTTTATTTAGAGGTTTTTCATTGTTTTTCTAATGAATTTGTCTGATTCACTGTTGCATAGCTGAGAAACAGAAACAAAAAAAGCCTATATAAAAAAAAAAAGGAGATTAAATTCATGTGCTATATTCTATTACCAAATCCTAAATTTATGACATTTGCCACATTGTTATAGTTTTTTCCCCACCACATACAGTGCCTTCATAAACACTTTATAAATATGTATATTGTGTATTGCCCATTGTCCATTGACCCTGTCTGGTTTTTAATTTTTTTTGTCTTTTAGTTTTTTTAGGTGAATACATGCCAGAACATAAAATAAAAAATACAAAACAGATTAGTTGTCCCATGTCCCTTGCTTCCTTCTTCTTAGTGATTACATGTTCAGCAGATATCAGACTCTTTTTAAATGCAGATAAGTGTTGTGATGAAGAGGGCAATGTCCAAAAGGATCCTCTTTAATACCTGACTCACCAGTCTTCATTACAACAACCTTACGTTAATACGTGCAGACCAACATGCAAAGACAGATGTACCTCTGCACTTCAATGATTGTGAGAGAGTACTTCTAGTATATACTTTATATGGAATGTTGTTTCATTGGGACTATAGCAATGCTCAATTTAATTTTCTTTTACCGAACCATACTTTTATTTAAAAAGTAATAATATAACCATGTAGTATGCATTACATGAAAACTAGCCGTTTTCATGTTATGCATACTACATACTAAACCGTTGAGTTCTACCTTTCATTTAATTATTATCAAAATATGACAATTTTAGAACAGATGATTTGATTTAAATACACAGCATATTTTCTGCATTGGAATGCAGTCATAAACTGTGTTCACTGGAATGCAACTGAATCAATATGACAGAAGCTCAGGGGTCAGTTCTCTGTGTTCTCCTTGACCTGATTGATAAGCGCAGATACAAACAGTCTTGATGCCCTGATGGCGGTTTTGTGTAACTGGATGAATGCCTAGACAAGATGGCGAGTGATTTACAATACTGCTTAAAGTAACCTTTTACCTCACTGACATACCACTGAATTCTTCTTTCAACACTGTGTATCAAACCAATAAACACATCAAGTCTGCAGATCCCGTAGTAACCTTATGCTGTTTTCTCATTAATCATTTACTTAATTATAGTCTTTCCTTAATTGCTTAAGGAAAAAATCAAACTGTAAATACTCACAAATCTTTAGTAGGTGAATGTGTACTTCATTTTGATTATGATAACTCTGCATGCACAGGAAAACCTCTTATTGCTAAATGTGGCTTGCGAATGTTATCTTGAATTCATGCCTAAAACATTATGTAAAGCAAACAGAATTATGGTGTAGCTGTAGAATATATGGGCTAAAAACATTACATTATATTATATCAGGGATTTTTTTTATTCACTTAACACTCTGGAAGATTTTTTTATAAAGTTAAACCAATTATAATTTTAGAGATTTTTGTAAAAATGCATTTAAATTTAAAATATTTAACAGTAAAATTGTCCTTCCATTAAAATAAGCATGGGAGCTGGCATGGTGTTAAAAATCAGTTTTTCCCCCAATAATGAAGACAATTTTCCTCAAAACTATGTTCCAAAACAATACTTTAAACTAAACCCAAACTAATAATACAGGAATGGTTTAAAATGTGATAGTAGTATTTTTCCTGTTTTCCCTTTTCCTTCATTTGGATGTTTTTAAGTTTTATAGGACATTAATTTTAGACTTACTTGTTATACAGTACTTATATCTGACTCTGTAGGAATAATTGTGAGTCACAGATCTGAGTTCAGTTCAGTTGGGTTGATTTCATGATGTGGAATATGTGACATGGCAGCAGGGCACTGCCTTCTGGACTTTACTGCCTTTATCAGAGCTCGGCAACCCATTTAAATACAGTGCTGATACCTTCTCAACACTTACACACAGAAGAGGACAAGAGAAAGGTAAGGAACTGGACAAAAACACAAATGAATGCATACTTACTGTGTGTTCTTTTCAGTTAAACGCAAGCTTGTCAAAAATATTTATAGTGGTCTTGCCTGACAAAATGATTTTTTTTTTCTTGTAGAGTCTGCGCATAATCATGAAGGTCCTGGTAGTGTTTGTCATTGCAGTTTTCACTGGTAAGTGTTTGTTTGTTTTAGTGTTTGAATAAAAATTGGAGGCGCTCTCAAAACTGGTGAGAAAATGTTATGTTTTAAACCAGTTAATATATTTGAATTATGATGAATCCTTTAGGTTGTCATGCCAGTATGTTGTGGCAGGACCAGTCAGCGCCCAGTATGGATCTGGTGAAAAACGCATTCTGGAATTACGTGTCTCAGGCAACCCTCACAGCTGAGGACACCCTGCAGATGATCCGAAACTCAGAACTGGGTCAAGAAATCAAGTAAGCATATAAGATGATGAACCAGCTATAAAACAAATCATAAAACTTTGAAATACACAAACATCTATCTCCATTTCTCCTCAGTGACAGGATCTCTCAAAGTGCAGATGCCATCAACAAATACACCCTGGCCATTCAAAGTCAAGTAACTCCTCTGACTCAAGACCTGATGGCCAAACTTTCCCAAGAGGTAGATCAGCTGAAACTGCGCCTGGAACAGGAAATGACATCTGTGCAGTCCCATCTCAAGCCTTACGTTGAGGAAATCAGAGGTGATATTGAGGAGCAGGTTGAGCGGCTGAAGAAGGATGCGGCCCCATATGCAGAGGCCCTGAACTCTGAGGCCCTGAGATCTACTCTGGTCCAAGGGGCCGAGGAGCTGAAGGCCAAGCTGGAGAGAAGTTTGATGGAGATGGGTCCTCAAACCGAGGAGCTGAAGCAGAAACTGGACCAGCACTTTTTGGAGTTTCAGATGAGCATGTCACCATTGGCCCAAACCTTTCAGAGTCAGCTGGCCCAGAGAAGTCAGGAGCTTCAGAAGAATCTGGCTCCCTATTCAGAGGAGCTCAGCAAACTGGATCCATACGCCCAGGACCTGAAGACCCAGTTAACAGCTCTCTGGGAGTCCTTTGCCAAGAACAAGCAGTCTTGAGAGACTTTTGGGAAATGCAAAAGGACACTTCTGTTACCACTGAGGGTTTCACATAGTATATTTCTTTGTTGCTCATGTATGTTTTTCAAAAAAAAAAGTAATAAAATAGCACAAACACTAATTTATAATGCTGTGGTCACTCCAATTGTGTGAGGGTTTAAAAAAAAAACAAAACACAAACACTATGTCTAATATACTACACTATGTATATTTGTAATGCTGTGGTCCATATGCAAGATTTTAATTGCAGAAATGTGTGCGAGGCTTCTGAACTTTTATTTAATTCTGGCAACCCAAATATGATTATTTAAAGCTGGAATAAACATTAGACATCATACACTTGACTTTCCAACTACTTTTTCCAAGTCATTCTGAGCACAACAAAAGCACACAGAAACATGAGCCTTTTTGCTAGGACATGACAAATAAAAACAAGTGAGTCTGTGGCCATCACACACTATACGAATTTCTGTGAACTCTGTCGACTGCCCAAAATCTGCAGACTGGCTCTGACTTTCAGCAATTAGCATCTACTTGTCCAGACTGCAAATATCTGTATAAAAATCATGTATGTATTCCAGTCTTTAGAGCCACAAAGGTAGCGGACTAGGAGTGATACTTGGATAAGCACCCAAGTTGTCCATATGCAAAAAAAAAAGTGAATTGCTTTATCTTTATTTGTTAGTCAGACAAAAGAACAAGGGTTCAAATCCTGTTCATTTTGACAACACTCTGTCACCAAGCACCCAGCTATTTTACCTCACACTTCAATTTTAAGGTCATGTGGCCTTTGAACCCTATGAGGAATGTTTTACCTACTTTTTTGTAACATTTCAAATAGCCAGGATAAAAGTGTGTCGGCCCACAATATATAGGGCTTGACATTATCAGTTATTGATTGTCTGTGAGCTTGTAACACTCCAAAGAGAAAGGAAAAATTGAAATTGCATCATATGACCCCTTTAAAAGAGCAAATACAGCTGTGAAAATGTACAATGTATCCCTTTTTCATGGTTGCACCTATACATGTTAAATAATAAGCATAATATCTTAGGTAATAATAACAATATAAAACTAAATGTGATTACGCATCTGATATATATTTATATTTCAACTGAGGCTTATTAAACAGATATGTTTTTTTTACAAAACGACCTATTATTTAATCTATTTATTATGTGTGGTACGTGAGCCAAAATTAGTTTATGACAGTCCTCTTGCACAAAGTCTTCATGCAAGAAATGCTCAAGATAATAGACTGATTCTGATTTGCTGACATGATATCTTATCCTGTTTTAGTTTAAAACACAATGACATTTTCCCATAATTGATTGGTAACTGTAAATCAGACGTACTGTAGAAAATAATATCATCTATAAAAAGAAGCCAACAATACATGCGCACAGGAAAACATGGCTACATGAGTCAAGTGTTCTTAGCTTGCTGAGCTTAAAGTTACAGCTCCATTTTAAGCATTTCAATGCTCCTTCCAAATGTGAATGTGAAGTACAGTGATAAAATCGCAACTAGAAGAGAGATAAATGATAAGCTTTGATCCTTGAATCATGCAAGCCAAGATGTTTTTAGTAGCAAATGTCTTGTTGCATAACAATGAAATATTAATTATTATGCAACAAATGTCTTTTTTTTACATTAACATCAATGTCCCACTTTTTATGACTTGGCCCATCTCTTTTCTGCTGTTTTATGATTATTTTGGTATTAACAATTCAATTGTGTTCAATAAAAATACACTGATGTTCAAATATGACATTGTGACTTTGTTCTGTACTTTCACTGAGATACCTCTGGCTACAACACCTAACCCAATGAGCCACATTCATTTTTAATAAACCAATTTTTAAATTATAGTACATCTTGTCCTTTTGGAACCTTATTCATGCAACGTGGAATGGAAGACTGCGATAAACAAGTATCTGAAGAGAAGAACTTTGGACACAAGCTGCCAATTCACCTGTTCATAGTCACATTATGGCTATCAACATGACTGTGATCCAAGTCGTATAAATGCCAGCTGCTTCCAAACTCCCATTACAGAACACATTGGAAAATCTGTCTGGTGTACTGTCCAAAAACAATCATGAAGTTTGTGGCTGTAATCCTTGCTCTCGCTGTTATTTCAGGTAAGAGACCACCAACGAACGCAAATCTTCAACAAATTCAAAATGTGTCTACTTATGCTTAGAACTTGGATTACTTCGGCAGATCATTTGAACGGATTATGTGATGGTTTTCTTTGAGAGCTTGATGGTACAGATGAGGTGTCTTCAACAACAGACTACATGAACAAATATTTGACACATTAAAGACTATATTTGTGCTCCATTCTGACTTTGCAGGCTGCCAGGGGCGCTTTCTGTTTCAGGATGAGCCACAAAGCCGCTGGGAAGAGGCAGTGGATCAGTTCTGGAACCATGTGTCCGAGCTGACCTCTAAGGCTGAGGAGATGAGGGACAACATCAAGGCCACTCAGCTCGGCAGAGAATTAGAGTGAGTAAATGCTACAAAACATTGTAGCAGAGCAAATATTTGAGAATTTGTAAAGATCTGTAAAGATGCAGAAAAGGCTAGACTCAGTGGAAATTGAAGTCCAGAGTCAAGAAAGCTGATGTATGATATCGAAATTCATTGCTTTGCAGCACACTGATCAGTGACACCATGATGGAGCTGCAAGTGTACAAAGATGACTTGCACTCCACACTGGGCCCTTATGCACAGGAGACTGCCAAGAGATTCAATGAAGATGTTCAGCTGCTGGCGAATAAGCTCCGCACACATATGGAGGACGCTAAGGATCATGTCAATGAATACACAGTGGAGCTCCAAACCATTGTGGAACAGAATGCTGATGAGGTCAAGAACAGGGTCAACAACTATGCCAAGAAACTAAGGAAACGTTTTAACAAGGACATCCAAGAGATCAACAAGTGAGTGACGGCAGTAATTATCTAATCTCAATTATTGCATATCTTTTGTTACTAAATTACTAACAAATTACTACATTACTAAATTACATCTAAATGACTAATTTAGAGTATTTTCATCAAATAAATGCAACCTTGGTGAGCATAAGAGACTTCAAAGAGAACATTAAAAAATATTACCAACCCCATATTTTTGAATGGTAGTGTACATAGCAAACGTCATAACTTACTGTTCTTGTATATATCACTGTTTAATATTGGACATCATTGTTCAATATGCCTTAATTTGACACTGACAATTTAGGATGTACATTAAATAAATAAAAAGATTCACATTTTCATTTTGATATTTCCATTACCTTAGAAGGAGAAATAGATATGACAGTCAAAAGATAATTAATAAAATAGATATGCGCTTTTACAATTTTTAGATAAAATAAAATAAAAATAATAATATATACATTCTATATACTTTTTTATAAAAATATATTGTATATAAATTGCAAATATATATTTTTGAAATATATATATACTGTATATGTTACATGTAAAATTCTAATCTATGAAAATCTAAATTTTTAACAATTTCTATGATTGTTTCTTCTCTGGTCTAAAGGAAAATGGCAACATACTTTGAGGAGGTTCGCTCTCGTGCTACTCTGGGTATGGAGGATGTGAAGGAACGTCTCGAGCCTTACTTCACCTCAGTGCATCAGCGTGCTGAAGAGAAGCTGACAACTCTAGCAGAACTGCTGAGAAGCCAGGGAGAAGGAATAAAAGAGAAACTGGAATCACAAATGCAGGACCTCAAAGAGAAATTTGAGAAGAGCACAGAAAATATGCGTAACACAATTCAGGAAAAGGCAGAGGAGATAAAAAATTGGTTTGAGCCCTATGTGTCTCAGGTCCAGAAGCAACTGGAGACAGTCATGGAGGGCTTGTAATACCAGTGTATAAGAATGAGGTCTCATAGGAAAATTAATAGATTAACTTTTTCACTAAACGTTGCTTACAGAAATGAAGGTAATGGAAGTGTCAAAGTAATGAGTGAAATATACCATTAGTACTACATGGATGTAACAACAGATGTTAGCTATGCAATATAAAGCTCAATAAAACCAGCATGTACCAATGAACTGTCTGTGTATAACATGTATATGGGTCAATGACATCACTCATTTTTGTCTGAATCTCTTATAAAAAAAAATACATAAGAAATTACATGATAAACATGTTTTAATTTCTGGATTAAAGTAATTTTCATATTTTTGTGGCTCTTAAGGTTAAAAATGTATAGGTCTTGTAAATATCTAATGTCTGGATATGAAAAGAAAAAGGGAAAAAAATTAAAAGGTTTGGACTTTTTGGGGGGGAAATAGGCCTATATTAACATGAGTAGTCAGCACTTTTATTATTAATCTTAAAAATAAACTGCTTTTTGTTTCAATGTATATATATATATATACAAATTAACACTTAACTAGTAACGTTTTTCAAACCGCCATAAAACATTCCATTTAAAATCTAAATTCTAACGATTTAACATTTAGAACGTTTTTTAAAATGATTCTCCTTTTTATTTTATCAAACATCATTATTTGTCATTGACCCATATAATACATTACGATATATTTTGTGGGTGTTTCCAATTCTATAATATAACAATATTTAACTTTCATGCACTCACAGTACAACGCAGAGAAGTGTCCCACACCACACAAACCTCTCGGTCTTCCGGTCTATTACGGATGTTGTGTTTGGATATACCACTACCAGGATCCCACAACAGACCACCACGAGGAGCATAAGCAGATGCATTAAATAGGAAAAATAATTACACGTCACGGATATTCAATACAGTTGCAACGCTCTGAGGCAAATGGACATACTCGTAACAACCAATAATAAATGACCGTGCGCGAGCCAGGGACTAAGCGCGCCGACCACATCGGTGAGTGCACGAGCCCACTGTTTTCTCGTAGTGGCTTGACAAGAATTTTTTTAATTTTCAAAACTGGCCAACGCGAACTGCTTTATACAGTTCATCGAGCAGATGGCTACTGGGGCTTTCACTTAACATTTAAGTCGTGTTTCATGTACATTTATATACAAGCAGTAATTGTTTAGTTTGCGAATTAGCACAAAGCTAAGGTTCAGGCGCGACCAACAAATAAACTCAGTCAATCAAAACCTTCGAATTACTATTTGAATACTATTTGTGCACTAGTAGTAAACGCTTTTGAGGAATATTTTATGGTAGACTCAACTGCACAAGAAGCTCGGACTGAATCCTTCCCCCCACCTTGTTTTGCAAGTAATTTTCTAACGTTCACTCCCCCTCCCCGTGCTTTTAAAACGTAGCGTTACATGAAAAAAATCCCTGTTATAATGATAATTTCTGTCACTATCAAAAAATCGCCTAGGGAGTTGTTTGTCTCAGTGTTTGTTAATCGTGTATATGTAAATATAGGTAGGGAAACACAAAACCAAAACAAGTAACTATGAGTGTAGCCTATTTACAAGAAAATACATATTTACAAGTATATATTTACAAGAATCATAATTGCATTAGCCTAATTAAGAATTAATAAAGAATTAATTTATCAGTTTGCACACTGTAAAAAATGAAGAAAATTTTATTGAAACTTGTAAAAATTTGTAAACTTGTAAAAATGTGACTTACAGTTACTTCCTTACTCTATACCATAGAGGTATGTCAGATATGTTTGGGCAGTTTCAGACTTGAGAATGTTGCCGTACAAGACAGAGAAGGTGCAGGTATAAAGATTAAAAGTAAATCATTTAAAAGTGAGCGTTATCTTATGCAGCCATCTTCAGGTCTTGATCAAGCAGTCTTCTATTTTCTGACACATAAAATATGTAGCTAAAATAAATTAGAATTTTATATATATATATAT